CGCTTCTGTACATTATTCAGAGTATAATTTACTATGATGCGTACACTAATGCTCAAAGGTATCAGACAAACCAAACAAATGCCTCTACGACCACAGCCTTGCATCTCGTTAGTGGCTAATTATCTTCCTCCTCTGCGTGATGCAATTCCTCACCCTTCAGTCCTCCTCCACACGCCGTCATCTACCAAAATAAAAGCTTATCATAAGAGCAGTTTATTTTGGGGTGACTGAGCAGACTGAACGGCGCGCATCACATCACATCACTCCTGCACATCATGCGGATTGTTGATCGTGGCTGTCGATTATCACCCACCGATCATCAGAACTGAGTGAGTTCTAACTCTGGCAACTCAGCCCTAGCACGCCATCTGCCATTCTGGCAGGAAGCAGCGCTGCCATGTTCTGCTGGTGACAGTGTGCTCAAAGAGGAATATTTAAAACGACAATGCTTTCACCGAGAAACACTGCACACGCTGCTATTTATTCATACTTCTGATTAAACAAACAAGTCACTTGTAAGATTTTATTATTTTTCCACATTTTCCAGTTATACTACAAACACATCTTAAACATTAGCCCACAGAACGCAACAAAATTAGTTTTGAACAAAAAATATTTTAATTGCAGCCATCTTCCTTTTGCATGACGAGTCTTTCTCGAGCTGACAAATTCACAGCACTCTGTTTGTCCCTTAAAGCGTTGTCCCCCCAGAGACTGAGCAATACACACTGGAAGGAATAAAAGTGGCCTGAATATGGAGCTCCCATGTCCTCCTTGTCTAAATCACCCTGAAAACACTCTGATGTTTCTTTCAGTCCCACAGGATGAGGTGTTATGTGAGATGGATAAGAAGTAAGAAGTGGGACATAAAGAGAAGCTTTCTCTTAAAAAGCTTCTGTGGGGAACGAACTAGCCGCCTTTCTTCATCCTCCCTAAAACACATGACTTGCTGGTAGCTGTTGGATCCCAGGAAATGGTTAAGGGGCTGAGCCAAAGCCTGTGTGGATCCTGTGTGTGAGTCCCAGCTTTTCCTGTATACCAAATTGCCGTGTGTGTGCAGGGGAAACGCTTTAAAAATGCATGGTTATGCCAGGTGGAAATGTCACAGCTAAGAGCAGACTGTTGTCTCCCTGTGCTAACAGAAGCTATTAGTCCCCTTCTCTTGGTGTCCATGCTTTTTATTTTTTCAGCGGGGTTGCAGAGGACTCTCTGCCACGCCGCTCGGTGCGTGCGTAAGTGTAGGCGATGATGCCGTGTTGCTTTTTCTGGCGACGTGCTTCAGCCTGAGCTCCTCTCTGAACTCGTAGGTGAGAAGAGCGGGCTCGTGAGCGCAGAGACGAGCGTAGGCATCCGCTAGCGCCCTGAACTGGGGTATGGTGAGTTCTGTGGGGCGCAGGATGGGGTCCACGTCTGCCTTCTGCATCATCTCCTGTGTCAGCTCAACACGACGCGCCTCAGGGAACAACTTCCTGTGGGGGAAAAAGCGACGACACGAGAGTACAGATTCCTGCGCTTAGTCCGCTTTGATATCTTAACGATCATGCAAGTTTAATGTTGTCAGAAAGTTCAAACAGAAAGAAATTATCCCTCAGCAATTATTTCAGATCGGTGAAGTTAATTGAAATCACACAAAGTCCTCATGAATTGTTAATTTACTCCACAGCCACGCTGCACAGTCCACGGCTGCCATTAAACTCGCACAAACTTTCTAAATCAGAAACAGAGCAGCTGTGATTTCAATTGCTAATTTTTATTTATTTTGCCGTCTCTCAGATGTTCCTGTGGACTCGTTCGCTGCAGGTTAGCGAGCGACAGCCAGCTCCACACAATCTGCAGATGCTTTTTAGGTGCTCGAGTGCCGGTGCCGCCTCCCCAGTTTGGTGCCGCTGCCACCGACCCACGGCAGTTACATAAAATATGCTTCCTCGTTTTCCTATGCCACCTCAGTGACTCATAATTGCTGCTCTCTTTCAAACAGCCAGCGCTCTTTTGTTATCCGGGCCTACATACACTTCCCTAACAGGCACGGGGGCGACGGGCACACACATGTGGGTGTCTGGCTTTGTTACTAGCTGCTCTGAAGTTACTCGAATGTTCAGATTTGGTTAGAGAAACACTCCAAAGCTGTCTGAATGGTGAATATAAAAAAAATATAAAGCCACTCTGATTAACGATGAGATGAAGACGCTGCCGTCAGACATGAAAAATGTAGAGAGAGAATAACTGATGTGAATGACGCATGGATTAAAAAGTAAAAAGAGGGAAAGAGTGGATCGAGGCCCTACACGCTTCATTAGGTTAACGTGTACTTACTCGACTCCTTTATGGCAGTGCTTCCTACGGAATTGGAAAACGTTCCTGACGACTTTCTCCACCAGCTGAAAGGGCTGCTGGATCTGGGGCTGAACCAATGGGGTGAAGTGAACTACTCCCACGTCAACCTACAGCGAGAGGAAATCCAGACAGCGGGGGGGTTAGCACAGACCTTAAAACTAGACTGCAGAGAGAGTGCTCATGGGAATGTGGTGAAAGAAAGTGGCAGAAAAAGAGCAGTCAGGTGTGATGAGAAGGGGAATGTAAAAAAACAAGCTTTCCTGACAAATGGCTCGAGATACAAAGCTGGACAAAGAGAGCGAAAGAGGGAAAAGGGCTCAACACTCCGGGATAAAAGAAGGAGGGAAGGCAGAAAATAAGATGACGCAGCACGGCTGGTTGGCGAGCTAGTTCCAGTTGCCACAGTAACACCTGTGCAATGGACCATAGAAAC